GCCTCTCTTTGCCGCGGCAGAACTGGCTTTATCCAAAGCCAACTGTGGGAAATAACCGAGTATGGAGCACGTGTATGGCACCTTCCTGCAGAAGATCCATGCAGGTGACTGCCAAAGCAGTAAGACATATGGCACCTTCTCGCAGAAGATCCGTGCATGTAAGTGCCAAAGCATCCTCAGAGCTGCTGCCACCACCACAGTCTTTGAGGCAGCGCTGCAGGAAGAGGCTGTGTGAGGTGATCCCGGGGGTTGCTGCTGCAGGAGAGGGCTGTGACTCCAGGGACCATCCTGAGAGGGTGTCTGGGGCCGTGACTCCACGGACCATCCTGAGAGGGTGTCCGTGCACTCAGCGTCACAGCTGCTAGGGCGGATGAGCTCTGGGGAAATCGGTGCGTGGCCTGCCCACAGAGCAGGCGCTGGCCCCGACACTTGAGGGTGTTAGCAGGTTCTTAAGCTACCTGMAAGTGTGAAAAGCAAGAATGTCTGCCAAGAGTGAATACAGTAGCTGACCATTTCTATCTGCTGTATCATTTGAGAGATCAAGATACTTACGTAAAAAGTTGGTATCTTTGGGGTAGAAAAATAGTGAAGTATCTAGAGAGCATTTGCCTGTGACTGCCAAAAACAAGATCTGAACGTGTACCCTTATTCCTYTGCTGAAGAGGTTTGCCATTGGTGCAAATACTTGCAAGTTTTTAGGTCTTTATTTCTCTCCTTAAGTTGAGGCAAGCAAGTAGTACCTGCTACCAGAGGGATAATTTGAAGGGCTTCCTGGGCTCATCTCAAAGCAGAGACCCATTTTTTCCCTAGGGCAGAAAATCCCAAGTAATGCTACATCCTAGGCTCATCCTATGGAGGATACATAAGAGTTGACTCCTTAGGAGCCTGTTCAAACCCTAGTTTCTTTCAGTGCTCTTTACAAATAATCTACTTTTAGTAATTTCAGAATAATTTAGTGCAGAGGATATTGCTTCATTTCAGCAAATATTCAAAGGGAGAAAAATATGTAGTGTGGTGGCCATGGCAAAAAAGTCATGTGGATCCTGTACATGACAGATGTTTTGATATTCTGCTCTCTGAGAGATCAATGCTTCCTAAGATCTACCAGCACAATAAAGAGGACTTTAAATGAGAAGCTGTTACATATGACTTGAAGTAAATATATTATATGGGAATTGCTCAAAATCATGTCCGTTGCTTAAAAAGGCAAAAAATCCCAAACTTAAAATACCATTATCTGGCCTGGAAGGTTGTCAGAAATGGTAGCCCCAATAACCTTGAAGGCAAATGCACCAATGCTGTATACCAGTCCCCTTCTACTTGACTTCACTGTATCAGATTTCTCATGCTGTGCTTAGTTTCTCTGATGCTGCTTAGTCTCCATTTGCTATGCTAGCGTTTCCCCAAGGAGTCAACAAAGGGTAATTTGTCTAGTACTAGTGTCAATACTTAAAAATAATTGCTGAGATAGTCGAGCAGACTAGTAATAGAAATTGAGGTGCATCTTAATGCAGCAGGATTCACAAGCAGGTTTGTGTCGTGGTACGTTACGCTGCTACAAAATGCAGTGATTTTTAGATAAAGCAGAGCACTAAATTAAACATTAAGTTCAGGAAATGTCACTGCCTCCCTATGCAGTGTTTTGCCTGTCGCCCACTTCTCTGCTCACTAAGTGTGGAATATTTAGCTCTAACATCTCTAAAGATCGCTCTCCACATAAAGCTTAGTCATGTATGAGTCCTGCTGAAGCAAAACGACCAAAAAGAGAAATAATCAAATCTCTCTTTATGATTTGGAATAGCATTTCCAAGTGTGGCCTCCCCTTGTGTCCTTGGGTGAGAGTTTTGCCGCCTTCCTGCCTGTACCCCACGGGGCCTGCTCTGCATCGCACCTTCTTCAGGTGGGCCCCAGTGCAGGGGGGCAGTAAAAGATCCACAGGCTAAAGGACAAAGAAAATTTTATGAAACACCAGGGGAAGGAGGTTGACTTCTGGGTTAAATTAAGAACAGTTGCATATTTTTGGCTGGTCCCAGCTCAGCCTGGCAGCTCCAAGCTTGCCTCACTTGCCCCATAGTGTGGGTGACTTGTGAGATGTCCCTCTCACTCTTTGAGTCCCACTGAGCCAGCGTCTTTCCTGAATTTGCTCAAAACCCTTAATATAAGGCCTGCAACACCTTAGCTAGCAATGAAGGCACAATAAATCCTAGAATTGTCTCAAATTTGAGAGGAGGATCGAAAATTCCAGTAACTAGTGTGTTGTGGTCAGAGAATGATGGGGAGCCAGCTTGGTAGCTTGATGGAAGAAGAGAATATCGACATCTATTTTCTACTCCAGACCATCTGCTGAGACTTGCTTACTGTGAATGCTGCTGTAAAGATTAATAAAGGTAAATTGTTAGATGACCAGTGGCTTTTCTCTCTTCTTAAACTGAAGGTGGATTGTGTTGGTGAAGACTAATGTCTTGCCAAAACGGAGAAATTGAGATTGGTGCTTTAAGTAGAAAAGTAGAAAAGTAGAAAAAAAAAGTAGAAAAGTAGAAAAGTAGAAAAGTAGAACTGAATATGGTATTAACCTCTAAAAATATTTGCTGTTGTAAGAAGCTTGAAAATAATTTTACCATCTTATTAGTGGAATTGAGTATGAAGTAACCTACTAAAATCACTAATAAAGATACAGAGTAATGGTGTAGAAATCCTCAGAAAACAAACGTATTTTCTTTTTATGTAGAAAAAATAGTATTTCTGTACATTATTCAACCCCTTTCTTCTTTGGATGGTGATGAACAAGAAATATGGCAATAAAAAGAATAACTGTTATTGGTCTATTATCTGAATGATATGATAAAAATTAATCTCATTGAATCGAAAAATACACTTCATAAGTATTGACAAAAATCATTTGACAAAGCAGAGGACCTCAGTTGACTTTTTTAGGGTAGATAATGAGATTAATTTGCTTCAATAATAATCCATGGCTAAATAAAAAATGCCATTTGAAATCTGCTGAGCTCTTAGTGACGCATGAAAAGCAGTGCGTTGCTTTCTGTGGAAACAACAGGTTGCTCTTCAAACCAGCTCCGTCAAGCTCTGGTGCATTTCAGACTTGGGCCTTCAGGTAGTCACTGTAAACCTAACTGAGGTAATGAAAAATGTGCATGTTTAGTGCAATTCTAACATGTTTGCTTTTCAATTTCAAGAAGTTGTTCTATGTTCAGAAACTTTAAGCTATTTAAACAAAATTCAGCATTATAAAACCAAGACAGAACTAAAACCATGTCAGAAATGCTTCTTTTTAGAACCTCAGTGACCCATAGTGTTCCTTATAGCTGTTGAAGAAAGGACAAACATAAATTTGTGATAAAATATGCATCTTCTCTAAAATACTTGGTGTTAATCAGTTAATATTAATAATTTTTGATGTAATAACAAATTACATTACATTACAAATGTCTATCATGCATTTATATTTTTATCTCTAACATAGAATAGTGTATGAAGTGTACGTACGGTTCTTCAAGTTGTGCACTCAGACATGAAAATCTAGTAATTATATATTGTTGTCTTATGGTATAGAATCAGGAAACTTGATTGGTCTTGCCATTTGTGGGATATGTATCCAGCAGGCAGTCTCCCAAACAAACTTGTTCCTGGGGGGAAAATAAAAGCACCAATAGAGTGAGTATAAGGCTTTTAGACTAGAATAAGCCAATATTCCCTTGATAGACTTAGGTTTAAGTGAGGCATAGTTTGAGTGTAAAGGTTCAGAACCACAGAATAGTTGAGGTTGGAAGGGACCTCTAGAGATCATCCAGTCCAACCCCCTGCTCCAGCAGGGACMCCCAGAGCACAGGGCGGCATCCAGGCGGGTTTGGGAGATCTCCAGAGAAGGAGACTCCACAGCTTCCCTGGGCAGCCTGTGCCAAGGCTGTCACCCTCACAGGGAAGAAGTTCCTCCTCACATGGAGATTGCAAGTGTCCTGAAGAGGTTTTGAGCGGGAAGGCCCTCAAAGGCCCGGGCTTGTGTTCCCCCGAGCAGTCTCTGGCTCTCCATAGTCCTCAGGGCCGAAAGGGGCCGTGGTGACCCCAGCGCCGTGGGGCTCCATGGTGGCACCGCGAGATGGCGGCCCGGCCCGCGCGCCTCCCCTGCTGCTGCTGGTGTTGGTGTGGGAGCGGGCGTGAGGCCCTGCTCCCGGCGGGCAGGGCAGGGCAGGGGCGCCGCTGCAGCGCCAAGGCTCCGCACCACGTAGCCTTCACTGAAAAACTGGAGGCTTTGCGCGGTTACAGCCCTCAGGAGGCTCCCACGAGAAAAAAAAAATATAAATGCAGTTATGAAAAGTCATCGTCGTGACCAGGTTTCATGTTGATCCCGTCTTACCTGTTGAAATCTCTAGGTGGGAAAAGGCCGGAACTGCTTTTTCCAAGGGAGGGAAATACCTCCCTCACGTGCTTTASATTTACCAAGAAAGGCCGTGGGCAGAGATGGTGTCCACCTGTGCATGGCCCCCGTGGAGTTTGCAGTTTCTGCAGATAGGCTTCYCCAGAATGCTGATCAGGGGCAATGATCTAATTTTTTAGTTTAAGCTGTTAAAAATTTACATTTTTTTTCTCTTTAAAGCAGCAGAACTGTGCAGCTTGGATGCTGAAATTGGTTGAAAGTTTGTATCACAAGCAGCTTTTTACCTAAAGCATGATAATGCAGTAATCAAGTTTAATAGTTTATTTTTAACTTAGGCTGGAAATTACATTTATTTTAAAATTGATTATATAGATTTTACTGTACTGTGCCTTATCCCTTCTGATCATATCTGCAACTTACCTTATTTCAAATCCACTTATAGTGCACAAATATAAAAAAGGACTTTTATTTTGGATACTGGGCAAAGGCTCTAATGTTTTTTGGTGGGGGTTTTTTTTTTTAGCTCTAATGGAATTTTTTTTTAAGTACTGTATGTTTTCCTGCAAGCTTACTTACCATGTTGTTTTTTTCTCTCCTTTCAAAGCCACAGAAGAAAGAGGATCAGCAATTAGAAGTTAAAGCAAGTCCAAAAAAGTCATCAGAACCCACTATTGATCTGTTAGGACTCGGTAAGCAGTAGATCCCTCTCTGTTTTCCAGTCAACCACATGTTGATCTTTTTGTACTCGAACAAATGTCTTTACTTCCTTTATGCTTAGTGCTACTGTTTGCCGCGTTTGAAAGCCATAAGGCTGGGTCCATAAAGTTGAAGAAAGGAAGGTACTGTGGGGATCCGCGTGTATCTATACTTTGCTAAGGGGAATAACAAGCACCTGGGGGAAGGAGATGATACCAAAGGGTCTTCAGAGGGCCTGTGGACTTGCGGGGGTGGCTGTGTTTGTGGTGCTGCTGCTTCTGAATGAACTACTGCTGGCATTATCTGTGTTGTATTTCTGTAGAATGATACTGGGGACAAATCCCCAAGCTGAAAGAGCAGTACCGCACGTACTGAGGAGCAGTAACTAGTGCCTCGCGTGACTGACCCCACGGGACTTCCCAGGGCGAGCTCGCCGTGGCCGTCCTTCATTTTCATCTAACAGACCTTTYGTTTTCCTCGCGGAGAGTAGCTATTTGTCTGGAAAATAAGGAGTTCTGGACTCAAATCCTCTAGCCTTATGCAGTCTGCCTATGCTATTATGTTCATTAAGCTTTTTCTCTGCTTGTTAAAGACCATATTTATAAAATCCATTTTCTCCTGTATTACTGTAATATACTATAATTGTGTGACCCCATATACAAACAATCGCAGTGGATCTAGAAAAAGGATATAGTAAAATAACTATTTTTAATCTCTTTATTGTTTAGTGTTAGGAATATGTGTATTTGAAGAAATATATTTCTGTATATTTGTAGTGAACGTTTTTAATTTTGGCTTTAAGTAAAGTGTGAATAATGTTGCAGCAAAGTAAAAAGAGTTTGCCTTGTTTTAGAATTCACACTGATATTTAAAATACAAGCTTTTTTTTTTTCTCCTTTTTTTCTTTTTTGGGCATAGAGGCACTGTAAAATACTGTCATTTTTATACTGTTTACATTATCCCCACTAATCTGCTGTGATATGCAGGCAAATCTTAATTAGCACATTAGAAATTAGATTATAGATGTAGAATGAACCTACTAAAAATAATAATTCAGGCTTGATGGAAAACTGATGCTCTTAAATTTTTCTCTACCAGCCCAACAAGCTAATTAAGAAATAAAATGTAATCGCTGTGTGCTTTGGAAACTGTCAGACTTCTTTGTCCTTTTAGGATGATTTGAAGCATGATTTGGAAAGAATATTGATAGTATATGATACAATATAAACTCAGGTGACATAGACTCAGTGTTTTAGATGAAATGCAGTACTGCAAGGGCTGTTCAACAGCTCTGCTTTTTCAGTGAAGAAAAAAGCCTAGTGAGATAGAGAAGGGGGARTCTGTTTTGTGCCCAAGTAAAACGTGATTTTAGGGGAAGGAGGTTTCAAGATCTCCTAAACAATTTGTTTAGATGCAGTGCACTAAGCTGGTGTCAATTGGAGTCCTCTGAGCCGCAGAAGAGCAGCGTGTTGGTGACAGCGTGTTGCATTTGGAGAGTTTTCTAATGAATTGCTGCAGCAGGCTGCTTGTTCTTAATTTATCGATTCAAATAGTATTAAAAGAAAGACCGCTTCAGTATATCAAACAGCATTAAAATGGCTGTGATTGTATAGCTTGTTCTTCCCACYGAGTGGATGCATTTCTCATTGTAATGACTCATTCCCACAGGACTCAGATTTCTGCAAATGAAGCTCAGGAGTAGCTTTTCCTGGGGCAAATCGGAATCACTTGTTGCAGCTGGACAAGTAACTGTAATGGATTGTATTTCATGCTGGAAGAATTTTGTCTTTCAGACTAACTGAACCTTTTGGAAGGTGCTCTTGGTTGGTGTGTGGAGTTGKTGGTGGTGGTGACCTCACGTAAAGCTCAGTGCTTGCAAAAGCACCTTTGGGTGCAAGAGAAACCTGAGGTGTCTTGCTGTGTGGATTTGTTTATTTTTCTCAGCTGGGTTTTAACAGCATRTTGTCAGAATAAGGAAAAATGCTGTGAAATAGGACTTGCACTTAGACAACTGATGACAATTGTGGCTTAAAAAGGTAATTTTCTAAAAATAAATTGGCCTTTCTCTTTCTTTATAAAAGGTAAAATTCTCAGGCTAACTAATGCATCTAGGAGAATATATCTTTAAATCCTGTAATTGCAGAAGAGGCACGATATCCTTGGTGCCTGTATTATCCCATTTGTGATTCTTCTGAGTCCTCTTTAATGGATTCATGTGACTCCCTTGAGTCCCTATTCAAGGGAATTTATTGTTAAGATAGTGCTTGGATATTGTTTTTTTAGCAGAGCTAATTTTTCTGAATAATTTCCTCGTTGGATTCATGATGGCCCCTCTACTAAAACACTTGGGGCTTTTGGCCTCTTATGGAAGAGCACATTTTATTTCAGTAATCACTTCCCTTTGAAAGGTGGAGAATCTGAATGTGCAAGTTAAATATTCTTATGGCCTTAACCCTGTAACCCCAAATCCCTTCCCTYGCTTCCCAGGCTATGGGAAGTCACAGCCTCTTTCTGTAGTGTGAGACTGCTGTTTCTGATGATGCCTACAATCAGTTGGGTTTTGACCACACAAAAAAATACTGTATGGGCATTTTCTTACAGAAGATATGGCGATGTGCAGTTAATGCTCAAAAATTTCTAATATGGGGTTTCATAACATTAAAGTTTTCATAGGGTATTACAGGCAGCATTTTGAATGTCGCAGCCTGTAAACCACAGTTATTCAGTACAGGAGTCATTCCTGTGGTGCTCGATATTTGGGGATTTTCTCTAATAATTTGGGTGTTTCCACTTGTGCCAAATTGATGCAAAGAAAGGTTTATTAAAATATTTGTAAAAAAATATATATTTTTTTGATGGGAATGTATATTCTCTTGGAAAATTATGTGGATGTTTTTGGGATTGTTTGGCAAGAAACTTATCTAGAAAAAATGAAAAGTTAATATTTTTTAAATATATTACCTTACTGAATTATCAGAAGAAGGAAAAATGCATTTTACATGTTCTGCATCATTTACCATATTCAAATGTGCCATTAATAAGGCAGATAATTGCACATTCTGAAATAATCACCATAGTAAATTATAATGAATSACCAGAGGAAAAGGCTGAGAATTTATAATGGTGTTTTTCTTATTTTAAGAAACTCTTGGTTATACCATAAGTAAATTGGGAGGAGGGGAARGAGGAGGGGAGGAAGCTTTAAAAAAGTGGAGTATGGCCACGTTATAGAGTTGAAGGGGGAAGCTGTGGTTCAATAAATATGGGGACAGGAGGCGTTTGTCTGGCAGGGTTGGAAGTGAAGTAAAATATGCCAGAAACTGCCCAACAGCAGTTTTCCAATCCCTGGGAGAGGGATTCTGAAAAATGGTAGATTTTGAGAGCTAAATCATAGTATGAAAATGCAGCTGAATGGTGCAGGCCTGAGAAACGTGTTCCTGTCAGTGCTATCTGGTAAGTCCTAGGCAGCTGCATTGGTCTTAGGTTAGAATGCTTTTATTTATGAAATAAAAAATACAGCTGTATAGATAACATGTATGTATGTATGTACATATGYGTTCATATATTTAATATCATGTATACACACTCSATAACATTTATAGTAATGCTGCGTTGTTAAGGCTATGCTTAGATAAGCAGTATRTCTACCCAGAAGGAAAATAGCTGCAGCCTTTCGAGGCATAAGGCATTGAGAGCTCYCTGGCTTTCCAAATTTTACTTTGAAAAGTAGTGTCTCGCAACAGGCTTCCTGTGAACGCTTTGCTGCTTCTTGCAAAGGCCTCCTAATGCACTAAATGGGTCCCGAAACGTTTGGAGCAGATTGTGTTTTTATCTGCGTCTCAAGTGTTTTGTGTTTGCTGCTCTTCCTCTTTTTCTAGTCACTTAATGTGATGAATAATCATGTACACCCAGTGGTTTGCCCCATAGAAAACAGGGGCTTCAGAAACCCRATGCAGAGTTTAAGAATGGATCTTTCCTTGTCGTTTTTCTTTCTGGCTGCTCCTTCCAGGCTTCTCCCATAGGTCATCCTGGCTGATGGCCCAGATAAGGGCTGGACGGTATCAGTGCCCGACGTGAAAGCTCTCGGATAAAAGGCAATTCTGAATAGAAACTGTCATGTCAGGTGCTGAGAAGTGAATACAGAGAAAAACACTGTAAATGTCACCTTGCCTAGGAGCCTTCCCTCGCTGGATGTGTCCTGGTAAATAGCTGCTGCTCCCGTTAACAACTTCGTGCACGACTTCCTTGTCCAAAAGCAGGAGCAGCATCTGTTGTTGCAGAACCCGGCAGTCAGATGTGATCTCTTGTATTGCCGTAAATGTAAAAAGAGAAGGAGTAGCAGATGGATCTCCTTGTTTGATAGCTAATAAATATCTGTTTTGAGACCACAGCTTAGGCACAGCAATGCAAAACATAAATAGCATCTGTTTATTTTTCACATCCCCTTCTCTGCGTGTGCCTTGCGCGCAGCCTCGCTGCTGAGGTGACGTCAGCCAGATTTGCTTGGGTGAGAGGCACAGCCCTTCTTCCCAGCCGTTCATGGCAGGCAGCAAAAGTCATTCAAACAGCCATGGACTCCGAGTAACTTCTAACTCATCCAGAACATCTTTCTTAGAATCATAGGATCATTATGGTTGGAAAAGGCCTTCAAGATTGAGTCCAGCCGTAAACCCTTCAACACCAAGCCGTAAACTCTTCATCACCGTGTCTGCTAGACCATGGGCCCAAGTGCCTCACCTGCATGTTTCTTGAATCCTGCCAGAGACGGTGACTCCAGCACTTCCCTGGGAAGCCTGTTCAATGCTTCCCCACTCCTTCCATGTAGAAATTCTTCCTGATGCCAAACTTGACCCACCCCTAGTGCAACTTGAGACCCTTTCCTCTTGTGCTGTCGTCAGTTGTTTTGGAGAAGAGATGGACCCACCACCTTACCACAACCTCCTTTCAGGGAGTTGTAGAGAGCGACAAGGTTCCCCCTGAGCCTCCTCTCCAAACTAAACAGCCACAGCTCCCTCAGCTGCTCCTCCTAAGGTCTCTGCCCCAGCCCTGTCACCAGTTTCATTGCCCTTCTTTGAACACGCAGCAGCCCCTCAATGTCCTTCTTGTAGTCAGTTACCTAAAACTGAACACAGTATTTGAGGTGCAGCCTCACCAGCACTGGGTGCAGGGGGTGATCACTTCCCTGGTCCTGCTGGACMCACTGTTCCTGATATAAGCCAGGAGGCCGTTGGCCTTCATGGCCACCWGRGCTCCCTGCTGGCTCACGTTCAGCCGGCTGYCGAGCAGCACCCCCAGATCCTTTCCYGTCACCCAGCTCCCCAGCCACTCTGCCCCAAGCCTGTAGCRCTGCAYGGGGTGGTTGTGACTGAAGTGCAGGACCCARCMCTTGGCCTTGCTGAACCTCATACAGCTGGYGTCAGCCCATTGATCCAGCCTGTCCAGATCCCTCTGTAGAGCTTTCCTACCCTCMAGCAGATCAGCTCTTCCTCCTTGGAAGCTTGGTGCCCTCTGCAAATTTGCTGAAGCTGCACTGGTTGTCAAGCACATGCTGTGTGATCGCCCTCAACAGGATCAGCTCCATAACTTTCCCTGATGCCGAGGTCAGGCTGACAGGCCTGTGGTTCTCCAGATCCTCCATCCGACCCTTCTGGTATGGGTGTCACGCTGGCCAGTCTCCAGTCGTCTGGGACCTCCCCTGCTGACCAGGGCTGCTGGTAGATGTGGGATTGCAGCTGGGCAGGCGCTTCCATCAGCTCCCTCAGGACCCGCGGCCAGATCCCATCTGGCCCCACAAGCCCAKGAGGGTGCAAGCAGACCAGCAGGTCACCGGCTGTGTCCTCCTGGGCTGTGTGTGGGGGGGACACATTATTCTGCACTCTGTAGGTGCCTCCCAGTTCTGGGAGCCAAGTACCTTGAGGATAAAACATTCCTGGACTACAGCAGTTCTTTGAAGCGAGGAGGGGAAGCGGGAAGGACTCCATAGATCAGTGCTCTTGCATGTCAAAACTGAAGGTGATCCACAGTCTTCAGGAGTGTGTGTTAATTGTTATTTTGAAATAAAACTTTGCATTTGTGTATGGGTACATTAATATCGCAACAAGTAATAACACAGGAGGAAAAAAATGCTTTAAGGGTAACTTTTTCATATATATTAGTACTCTATGCATTACTTTTTTKGGGGGGAAATAAGTAAGACAGGGGTTCCTGTTAATACTGTTCATACATATTTAAGTTTTGTGTTATAAACAGTAATTAAGAGTGGCTGCTTTTTTCCACATATAGATTAAAAATACTTATTTCCCTGGCTCTGATAATCACTAAGAGATAYCAACAGCACACCTATAGCTTTCCAATGACTTCAGACCAGTCTAGCAAAATCTGGGTTTTTGTGGTACTAATTTATAAGAAGCATATTAAATACTTAAAAAGTGTTATGTTCTCAAAGAACATAGAAGTTTTTTTATATAAACACTCTAAATATGTGAAATGTTTGCTTTGCTAATAACTGCACTGAGAAGTTTGCGTCTTGCACACTAAGCTTTCTTACATTCAGTGAAACTGAGCCACAGTGGAATACGAGAGGGGGGTTTTGTTTTTTAAATGCATGTCCCTCACTGAGAAAATGAGAACACTGAATTATTAATTGCAGATAGTCATTGTGCATGAAAATTATGCGCCAGGCATTCCTGTGTTTCTCTGAAAAAGGGAATCTTTTGGGAGATGGCTTGGAACTGTGTGCTGCCGAGGAGCTGAAGTGAGCAGGATATTTTGAAGGGCTTGTTCCTTACCTTTCCAATGTGTTTGCTTCCTTGTGTTTCCTTAAAGCCCTGAATGGTGCAAAACTGCTTCCAGCTGCTTGGCTTCATGCAGGTCGCCCACAGTTTCCTTCCCACAGAGSCTCTCGTGTTTCCCTGCTGTTCCCGGGACTGCTTTGCCTTTGTGGAGTTCCCAAGTTTGTCTCAGGCCCCACAGACAACACGGTCATTCTCAAAAGCTTTTAGCACTGCTGTGGTTTGGATTTGAGAATTACCAAATACTTTACAGATAAAGGAATTCTGTATATTTGAAGTAGGCACAAAAGCAAGCACGTTCCTCAGGTATTTGCACAGTGCCACCTTTTGCTTTTGGCTGCTTCATAACTCCCCATATGGAAAAGGGCAATAAATGCTTTAGGAACATGCCCTGGATTTCATGTATGCCGGAGCCGGGCGGTTCAAAGACGCGGTTTCCTCAGCAGCTCCCGTTGTGCCACGTTCCCTGGGGACACAGACACGGCGTGAGCGTCTCCGCGGGAAGCCAGGGCTCCGCTACGCAGCGAGTGTGGAAACCCGCGTTCTTTAGTGCCTTCTGCGCCAAGCTGTCAAACAGCCAGCCAGTGTCTTAGCAGTGTGGGCCTTTAGAGAGGGCTGTAGAAGTCAGCGCCGTCCTGCCGGGCGGCCTGCTGTGGGTCGCGCTCCCCCGGGGGGCAGGTGGTGCAAACCATTTCCAGCCCCTCGACGCGGCCGGCGGCGCTCCGGGGTTTCTTCCCGTCCCTCCTTTCTCCCGGTTGGTGCCGGCAGCCTCGGCCCCTGGGAAGGGCAGCGGGCAGAGCTGCAGAGCGTTTGTACGCGACGGAATGCAGTGATAAAAAATAACAGTATTTTACGAATAAGGTGACAAGGGCTGCTTGAGGCCGCCAGTTATTTGTGTTAATAAATAAAGAAGATGGGGAGAGCAAAGGGACATTATTATTTTAAGGAATACACTTACCCAAGTTATACAATTTTAAATAAGTATTGGATGCTTTTTATGTTTTTATTTTAACTAATGTTATGTCGCACAAGTGTTCCTTTCTAGTTAGCCCGCTTTTCTGTACTCATTAGAGTTCTAGAAAATATTAAAATACTAAAACCTCCCATCTGCCTTGCATATTTCTCTGTGAAGCAAGGCATACGTTTCATGTTATCTCTAATATATATGGATTTATTTGAATGCCTTTAATGCTTTCAGAGGTTTAAAAGTGTTTACCTTTTAAAATTTGGAATATATTACAGTGCTAGTTTGTAATTGCATATAGATATATTTKCGCTTGATATATTTGAAGTTAGCTCCCTTTGTGTAAGTGTGTGACATGAGGAAAAAAGTCCCCCAGTTAGGAAGGCAGCTCACAGACACTTATGCTGAATAATGAAATGCAGGTAATGGGGATACAGCATGTGAAACTGGGAGAGGGAAATTGGTGCTTTAAATATGTTAAGTAAAAATTTGTTTTAAAATGCCAGTAGTGCTTTAGCACTGAATAAAAACCTATGTACTGTATTTCAGTGATATCTGGAATACCAGTCCCCTGGTGAAATGTGAATAACCGTGCCCTGGGTATGGCTTTTGGTTAGAGAGACCATTTTTATTTAGTTGAAGAATTTTGACATAGTGAGTGCTAGATGCTTTGAAAAGTAACCTGCAGTTTTGCCCCCCAAAAAGCTTTCATAAATTTGCAGTTATTGCTGTGCAACCATCATAATATTCAGTAGAATCTGTACTCGATTTGTCGAAGTCTTCATAATAACAAATTCACTTGTGATAAACTTAAGAATTGGCTCTTAAATTTCATTTACTTTTTCTTGGACAGCTTAAATTCAAATGAGAATGAGCACTTGCTGCTCTACCCATCAAAMACATTTTGTAACATTTTTGTCTTTACATCCTATTGAATATTTTCTTGGGATTCTACTTAAAACCGTAATTCTTCAGCTCTTTTTTCACGACCTGCATTTTCACGTGGATCACTAAATGTCTTCATGCTTTCGAATGGTTGCAGGTGGAAGGGGCGCAGGAGGCAGGCCTGGCTGCTGTAGCTGTTAGCCCAGGGTGCCTTGCCGTGGGCTTCATGTGGAGCTGCGTGAAGAAGGGCAAAGCAGTTCTGAGAAAGGAGGGGAGAGGCGGCTTTCTATTGTGACCTGTGATCGGGTGTCCTTGAGGACATTAGCATATCATGAATAAGTTCATATATTGAAAAATATCAGTTTTATTTAAGGACCCAGAAGAATGTATTTTGTCTGATGTGTAACTGTCAGGTTTGGGTCTTCTTGATGAGATATTTGTTTATGTTGTCACTGCGTGTGATGCTTGTACGCCTGAAGAAGAGACGCGGGGAGAGAGGGAATGAATGATGTGTTCTGATAAACGGGCACTGCTGYCCTTGAAGTCCTCACATGGCCTCTTGGTTCTGATGCACAACAATGCAGCGTGTGGAGAGGAGCTGCTACACAATGTGAACAATCTGACATCCGAAAAACGTCTAAAATCCCTCACTTTGAAAATAACTTTGGGCGGGAGGCATCTTTAAGTGTTCTCGCTGTTGAAACCCCAGCAGTTTCCAGTTTCCAATGTGGGTGCCTTGTCTTTTCAAGATGCTCCGGCCGAGGCATCCCTTCCAAACGGAGGCACCGCCGCTGCTACAGCCCTGAGCGATGACCTGGATATCTTCGGCCCCATGATCTCTAATCCCTTACCAGCAGCTGCTGTTCCTCCCGCTCAGGTAAAGTTTGTGCACACATTCCCATGGATGTATATTTGTATAAACACAGGTATGCATAAACCTTCTCTGTGCACACACACACTTCAGTGTGCACACGCGTGYGCTTCCCTTCAGCGGGTCGCCCACGTGGAGGTTCACGCAGAGGGAGTGGAGGGTGGCCCTGCTCAGCACTTGGTTACCTGAAAGGGTCACGTTCTTCTCACCCCTTCCAGCTCTCCTGCTGCTGGGTAGCAGCGTTAGCTACATTGGATTCTCCCTTACTGTTGGCGATGGGCATATTCTCTTTTAAATAGTGCTCTTCATTTTTGTTGCCTTGCTAGCAGGTAATGCTGAATTTCTTTTTTCCTTGCTGTCCTCAGGTTCCTGGGCTTTAAATCAAACTGATCAAAGACCTTTTATAGATAGTGCCACCGTCCCGCCTTTTRTTGTTCACTAAGGTCTAGTGCCTTCGTTCTGCATTGAATGTGGGGTAAATGCTGTGTTTTCAATTGCCACAGAGCTCGTGCTRTTTTCCCATCCCCTTTCACAGTAATTGTAGATACTCTCCTGGGTCAGCAACCGTCTGAATTCTGCAGTTGTTCCTTGTGATTTCTGAGTAATTTGGTTGGTAGCATAATTATTTTTGTAATTATCTTTCCCCAGTTCACAACGTTACTTGATTCTGTAGGTTTTTATCACAGCAATCAGATATTTTTTGTTTTTGCTTTCTGAAATCCTACATGGGATGCTCGTATTGCAAAGCTCATCGAATCCAGCCTGGATAAAGTGGAGCTTTCGAGGCCCGGCCAGCAGCTTGCCAGTCAAAACAGGGAAAGTTCCAAAGCTGCTGCTTTAAGCAGGAATGTCGGCGTGTTGCAGTAGCCGCTGGTTTTGTGGTGCTCATAAAGGCTGCTACGGGAGGAAAGCAAAGCGCTGGAGCCGACTGCAGGGCCAGTCCCCGGCTGTTGTGTTGTGAGCAGTTATTTCTGACGGCGCGGAGGAGCCGCGAGCCGAGCGCGCCCTGGGGCTCCATGAGCTCCATGAGCTGAGCCTCGCGTGGGGCCTGCTCTGCGCCGGGGATCGATCCCCCCGGCAGGGCGGGCGGCTCCTCGGGAGCGCCGGGAGCGCCGGGAGCGCCACCTCGCACCCACTCGCGCCCCCCTGGCGCCGCCTGGGCCTTCGTCGCCAAATCCTGACACACAGGAAAGGCGCTAACACACATCCTAACACACAGGAAATCCTGACACACAGGAAAGGCGCTTGGAGACAGTCTGAGTAAGAAATGCCCCTGCTGGGGCGTTGCCTGTTGCCCTTGTTGGAAGGGCAACAAAAAGCCCCCAGCTGTTGGCTTCTTCGGATTCACCCGAGGTCGCCTCAGGGTGACTTAGTTTCTCTGTGCTCAACTAYAGCAGATTTTAGATAATTGTAAACCCCGTGTACTTAGACCACTGTAAGACAATTATAAACCGTGCATTCCAGAAATTATTTTCAATAGATCAACTAAAACTTTATTTTTGCCTTTTCTCCGAAAACACTCTTGTCTTAGTTGTAGTAGTATATTCCAAAGCACTGAGTCTTTTGTTCTATTTCCTCCAATTTATTCCCATTATGAGAAGATTAATGAAATGTGAATTGTAATCTCCTTATTGGTTTCCTAATTGTTTTTCATATTCTAATGACAGCTCATGATTTATGCTGCCCACCGATGAAAAATGTAAGCACCAGAAAGACTGAGTAGCCTGCACATACAAGCACTGCAGTGTGGCCAGGTGTTAGTTTTGCTTCTTGCATCGCCTCGTTCTGGTCCTTCCCAAACGTGCATGCTGGATTTGGGGCTTTGGTGATGCTACATCTTTTGAAACACTCATTTACTTTCAGCTAAGCCTGATAACTAAACTGCTTTTAATTTAGTTCAGGAGTGAGAATGTGCAGTAAATATTTAATGGAACAAGACTGCTGCTGGCTTCACCCACGAGTCTGTCTTGCCCTTAATTTCCCAGAGCACTTCCACCAAGCCAGCAGCTGCCCCCTTATCTGCTGCGCCCGGGGATCTCGATCTGTTCACTGAGCAAACAGCAAAATCCGAAGAGTCAGCAAAGAAGCAGCTCTCCAAAGACTCCATCTTATCCCTRTATGGCACAGGAACCATGCAGCAGCAAAGTGCTCCAGGTAGGTAACTCGTTTAGATACAGTTACTGTCCTATTTTACCTTTACTTACAATACAGTTAGTATCTCTTAACAGTGTAAAAGTGTGCCTGGTTACTCTCCTAAGTATATTCACATGACCTTTATTTCATCCACTTATTACATGGGGAAGTTGCTGAAGCAGAATACCAAGGCGAAGCAAAGCTGGTGTGTGTTTTTAATGTACTTGCAGTTGTTCCACTTACCAAACACACAAATTGCTGGCAGTGTTTGTTAGCCCGGCTTCCCTGCGCGCCGTGGGGCGAGCGGCTGCCGGGCGCCGCAGCCCGGTCCCCTTCCGCCCTCGGCTCTGTGGCCGGGAAGCCAGGGACTTCCAGGGGTGTAAGGGAAAGGTCCTGGCTTGCCACGAGATCTGTGGAACTCGTTTTTGTTAGTCAGTCACCGTGTGATAAGCGAGTCCCTTTCCCTGGAGGGGTTCTGAGCGGTTCCTTAGTTAGGCCACATACCCCGGAGGCCCTGGTGGATACAAATGGACACGATTCCACTTCACAGTTGTTGGGTCTGGTTCAAACGAGGGGATGGGGCGACTGTCTGCAAACCCTGTCCATAACAGCGCTCTTCCCGGCACAGGTCTGTTCATGGGATCGTCTTCCATGCCCTTCCCCACCCAGCAGTCCGCTCCCTTTCAAGGCTTTCCCGCCATGGGAGTTCCTGTGCCCGCAGCAGCCGGAATGATGGGCAACGTGCTGGGACAGTCGGTGCCGGTGATGGGGCAGAGCCCGGCCGTGATGGTGGGCATGGGAATGCCCAACGGGTTCAGCGGCGCCGCGCCGAGCGCCGTCATGGGACTTGCTCAGGGCGTCGCGGCGCCGCAGGGAGCGATGGCGGCACCGCCGCCGCAGCAGAGCTTCGGCGTGCAGCAGAGCCAGCCGGCGCAGTGGAGCCTGCCGCAGGTAACGCGGGAACGGGCCTGGGGAAGGGCGGTCGGGCGCTGGATGCTTAGATGTAGGAAGGGATTTGCAGCAGGGGTTGGCCACAGGCTGTTGGGCTGTGAACTGATGAGGCCCACGGGCAGCAGCAGAACCAGGGAAGCGTTTGCAGATTAGACCTTACAGATGGGAGAGCCAGCRTCCTTAGTCTCCTCCTGGCATCTCTGCCAGCCGGGAAGAAAATCTAAGCAGAGGGGCTGAGGTGCCATTATACAATACTGAAGTGCAAATAGGGCCTTATAACTAAAAGCAGAATTTAATTACCAGAGGGTAGTCATTAACAATTAATACTTTCAACAGAYTTCAAAATAAATGTCAGTGGAATGCGCACGGTGCTGCGCACTCCGAGAGCCTCCCGTAGATAAATAAGAGATGAGTCTAAGCAAATTATCTGTGATGTTCCCATGCTATTTTTATTTTTTTAAACGTGTTTAAAGGGTTATCTAAATGTGTTAATATGCGCTTAGTGGAACATCTTGGAAGCAGATTTTTGAGACCTTACTTAAAAAAACCCTAAATGATTCCCTTGAAGAGCTCATTATGGAAGACAGCAACTGARTTTTTCTGTAATATTCTTTGAATTAGAAAAATCCCATAATAATTACTTGCTGTTTACTACAGTACTTTGTGAAATGAACCTTAAAGGCTTATTTAGCTTTAATTATGTTAATTTTTGCTCTTGTGTTCAGTCCCGCATTGTGAACACTTATGGAGGTAGGCAGCAGTTCCTAAATGCATAAAACGGGGGCTATTGTCCTCCCTGGAAAAATAATCTCGCCTTGTGTGTTTTAGAAGTTCAAAAAAAAAAAGGAGAAAAAGGCACAGAATTACTGTTAACCTTGACGTGTATCTGACTTTAGAGAGGTAGGTATGGGGTGAGGAATCATGCTCTTCTCAGGCATCTGTGATGGCAGTTCCAGGCCGCCCCGCGGGACAAGCCTCTCACCCCCGTTTCTGCGTTAGCTGCTCCCAGCGCTCCGACACGTCCCGGCGGCCTCGCGCTTTCCCACCCCGTCCCCTCCAAASGGCCTCCCTCGGAGAGAGGGCCTGGGCAGGGTGTTTCCCCCCATCAGCTCCCTGTGATTCCCGCGGTCGGCGCTGCTTTGTGGACACCCATGTGGAAGCACAAAATCCTGCCTTGTCCCCTGCAATGCCGCTGTGCAATCCGCCAAACAACATGTTTCCACCAGTGATTTGCGGTTTCATTTTGAAACCGTTCGGTTCTTGTTCACAAGAACCCTTGATTTTTATCTGATGCTCTCTCTGATTGCATACAGTGTCCCCTGCCTGGCAGCCCTGTTCATCCCCTGGTCATTTTAGTCTTTAGGAACGTGCTTAGTTTCAGATAATACTGAACTTTAAAAATATCTTATGCTTTGATAATCAAGTGGACAGCCTGTTAAGCTTAGGTAAAGATTTTGAGAGGAATATTGGTGGAACAAAGAACACCTGGAACTGCAAGTGCAGAGGCGGCTTCGTAAGCTGCGGGGTTGCGTGGCTGCTGGGCTGCAGGCGGCTGTGGAGCTCGGCCGGCCTCGCGGTTAGAGCAGCCTCAGCCGCCCCGCCGGCTCCCGGCACATCCAGCGGCCGGGCGGCGGCCTGGGAGAGGCGCCCAGCCTTCCCCGGCCCTTTCAGGGGTCCGGGACAAAGGAAAGGGCTCCGGGACAAGCTGCYGTCTGGAGGAATGCTAGCAAGTTGCCTTGGGAAGCTGAGTGTAGGCGGAGAGCCGCCCCCGCGGCGCCGTGCCGCGTCGCGCGGTGCCGTGTGGCGTCGCGTGACATCACGGCGTGTCGCGCGGCGTTGTATAGCGTCACGTGGCACTGTGTGGCGTCGCAGGGTGTCGCGTGGCATTGTGCGGCGTCGTGTCGCGTGGCATCGCGTGGCGTGGCGCAGTGTCATGCAGCGTTGTGTGGCGTGGTACAGCGTCGTGCGGTGTCGCGTGGCGTGCCGCTGTGTGGCGCGGCGCGGCGCGGCGGCAGCTGACGGTGGCGTGTGCTTTGCCTTGCAGGTGAGGCAGCAGCTGGGCGCGCTGCGGCTGGGC